TTGATTGGATGAAGAATTAACTGACGAAGAGGACGTTCGAGAAGCATTTTTATGAGTCTTTGGGCCTGAATTTGGCCTACTAGGAAAATTATGAAATCCATTCCGTGGAGGTGCTGATGCACCACCTGAGTGCACTGGAGCTTTCTGCTGGAATCCTCTTGAACTCCTCCTCTGGTTGTATGCCAACCTCTTGGATTTATCAGATAACAAGCTCCAGGCCTCAGACAAAAGTTTAAATGCACCTTCAGCACCAACAGATTTGTTCTTATCCGGGTGGAGGATGAGAGCTAGCTTCCTGTACTGCTTCCTCACCGTTTCATCATCAGCTGAGGGGCCCACACCAAGTATCCCATACCAATCCACTTCCCCGCTTATTTTATTTTCGGCAGAGATATAGACATCAAGTGTTGTTAACATCTGGGTTACACCGTCAAGCCCCGGATACAAGGCCTGAGCTTTTAAGACAAATTTCTTTGCACCAGCAAAATCCTTCTGCTCGAACTTCCGCTCTGCAATTGTTTTTGCCCGAACGGCCTCATCTTTATTGCACTCCATAGTTTGTGTATGTGATTAGAAAGTTCCTTTAGTAATCTCCAATCAGTACGCCATTCAGTAACACTGAGACTACCAAAATATATAAAGCATGTGAATATCAGATACTGATGACTAAATCGCTTCCCCTTCTTGAACTACAGTATACTTCAAATCATCCAATACCTGATTCACATCAAGGGAAAGGTCAAAGGCTGTTAGAAATACGTCATTACAGAACCAGAACCAACAAAAAAAAAGTGTAACATGTCTTGGTCTTGGTTCCGTAGTATAATTTAGCGAAAAAACACTTATCAGAAAAAAAATATTAGAATTTAGATACCAAAAAGAAACATGCACATGTACGCAGACGCATATAGACATGTACATAGTCTAGTGCCTCAGAGCTTAGTGGCCGATAAATTGTTGCTGACAACACTAGACTTTTGAACCTGGTAAATGGAAGTCAAGATAGACATTCTGGATCCACCATACAAAACATGTGATTAATCAACTAAGACCGACATCTACCTCTCTGGAAATCCAATGATGCAAAATTATATTTGACAGGATAGGGAACAGATAGTACGCCTGATCTTAGCCAGAAGGCCAAGAAAGGTATGCAACAGGAGAGGAAAACTCCAGATATTTGCTTGTGTTAGTTTTTTAGCAACTTTTACTATCCAGGTTAAAAGTAATGGGATTCTTTAGCAAAAAATTGAGCTCTGTAGTTTCTAATGCACAATATCTTGTTCAAACAACAACGACATTACTGGTAGTTTCACCATGCAGAAAAGTTGGATAAAGTTAACAGCTACTATTACGTCTAGTTAGAGTATGTTGTTTTTTATACTAAATTGTGAATTCCTCACATTATTCAAATCTTAAAGTCAAAATTTAAGTGCCAAGTTTACTTTTCTACCAAGAAAAGGAAATCTTCTTTTTGAGCTTTGCTTCCAACTGCAACGACAACTACATACCCAGTCTTATCCCACACCGTGGGGTCTAGGGAGGGTAGGGTGTACATAGACCTTACCCTACCTTGTGAGGATAGAGAGGCTGTTTCCAACAGACCCTCGGCTCAGGAAAACGTAAGCACCACATTAATGAAAATATAGACTTGCTTCCAACTGCAAGAGGATTAATTCAACTTCCAGTCTTCCAAGTAATAGATGTCAACATAAACCACTGAGCAGCACGATAGACATAAAACATAGAAGTTGATTAGTAATGAATGCCTCTACCCTATACAAGAGTAAGAACTTCTATTTCTCTCTACTCCACATTTTCCCATTCTAAACATTTAAGTTGTAACATGCCATTGAAAATTCCAAAGTTCGTAAACTTACTTTAGAAACTTGCAATGGTAAAATTTCTCACTTGTTCTCTCCCTCTCTGCGAAAGTCTATTCTCTTCGCTAAATTCAGTAACCAACTCACTTCCGCATTCCAAAGAATCAATACAGATTACCCTGTCATCTACTCATCCACAGTTTCAAACAGCTTTATCTTCTGCGGGCCACCCCCCACCCCGACCTGAAAAATCTACTCTGAAATGAAAGAGAGAAACAAAAACATGAGGCGATCATATATGGTTCTTCCCAAACCCCCTCTCCCCCAAGGTGGAGGGAAACTCAACTAGGGGATGATCATGAAATAAATCTGGATAATGAATTGATTGCTCCCAAAAGTATGAAGTACTTTAAAGAACGTCCACCTCTCAAGCTAAGCACTAATCATTCAGCATTCGTAACAATAGCAGTCCACCTACAACAACAACAACTACTACTACTAGGCCTCAGGCCCAAACAAGTTGGGATCTACTATATGAATCCCCACTGGCCATGTTTCTCCATTTAAGCTCAACTCACCCCTATATAATAAGAATTTTTAACTAAAGCAGACAACGAGGAACGAACTGCAATGTGACCCAGTGGCCACCTTTCTTTGTCCAGCTGAAAATTTTCAACTTTTTTAGCCACGAGAACTCAAATTGAACTACTATATAGTGTTAGTACCAAAAATTAACTCATCCAATTTTATTACTAGACGACTGAACCTAAGCAAAAAACAAAAAAAAGGGAAACAAAATGGAACGGTAACAGAACGATCCCAAATCAAAATTTCGAATGACGAGATGTCAAATGGATCTGAAACATTAGCGGTTTGTAACGGTCCAATTTTACATTTCAAAAGAGAAACCCTAAAATTCATTACCAAGATAAGAACCTCTTTTTTTGCGCAATCGGAAAAAAAAAAATAAAAAAAAACTAACCCAAATGTGCAAATGAGTATTTGAATCGAAAAAGGAAGCGTTTTGCTGCTGCTGTTGACCTTCAGTTTTCCCACCAAACTGGAGTAGAAAAAGACGGACCCTTTGAAGAAACTGAAATTCTTTTTTCGTCAAAACCCCCTCTGAGACCAAGAACAACCCTAAAATGCCCACATAATCTCTTAATTTGGGAAAAGAACAGTCAGGCATGGGCTTGTTTTACATTTTATACACCTTTTTTGGGGGAGGGGGTATGGGGGTGTAACCAGAGTTAACAAATCAAATCATGGATCTTAACTATAGTTATTTTTTAAACACCAATCCTTAACCAGAGTTAATAAACCATGGCACTTAACCATAGTTACTTTTTAAATAGAACCTTCCATCCTTTTTTTCAACTTACTATCATTGCCTCGTTTTACGTAATGATATTTGATTGAGCACGTAATTTAAAAAATTAAAAAAAAATTTAATATATAAGTCAAATACTATATACTTAAGTACCAAAATTATTCTTTTAAATGAGTACCATAAGAGTTTTACATATCTTTTTATTTTTTATTTTTTTAAATGAATGGCCTTTTATATTAAATGGCTCCTGACAAGTTATGCGTTAAAAGATAATATTAATATTATGATCTTTCTCCATTACAAATAATAAATCATAAGTTTCAATATAAAATTTTATCTTCATTAATTGAATTAAATAGTTTTCACTAGTAAAAATGTATGGAGCATTTAAAGAAATATGGCTGCTTATTATGTTTGATAAATATGTGTAAAACTCGATTTTGGTTATGTTCTTTAGAATGAACTCACATATCTCATAAGATCAGTTTGCTCTGATACTATTGTTAGATTTTTTTAAAAAATGCAAGCAGTAAGAAGGTTAAAAATCTGTGTCTAATCTATAATCAGAAACCTCTCGTGTATGACATGGCCTAAATTTGCTAATGGCTAATCTTGAAGCCAAAGCAAACTTGGAGCTAACGTATTCAAACTTAGAGCCAAAGCATTCTAGCTTGGAACCAACGAATAAAAGTATTTTCTTTTATTTTTTATTTCTTTACTTGGGGACCAAGAACTTTGCACTATAAATATGTGTCATCTTATTTCATTTTAATCATCCCATATTTTGATTAGAAACTCATTTTGAGTATTCTTGTAATAGAGAGTTTTGTTACATTCCATAAAGTTGGTGTTAAGAAACACTTTGAGTGAACCTCTTCTTTGGGAGTGATTGTAGTAAGGTTATTCTCTTGGGACAAATAGAGTTTTATCTCTTATTTTATACTCTATTTTGTATACCGATCGTTAAGTAAAATCGTTCTTCTCCACTTGTGGGCGTAGATAACATTGATCGAATCATGTTAAATTGTGTGCCTTATTTATCTTCTCTAATTACTGTTATTACCAACTTGCACTTTCTTTGTTATTGTCATTATATTGTTGTTTGGCTAAATTTCGCACTACCCAGGTTCCCGATCCTAACAAATTGGTATTACAGCCAGATCTAACTAGGTTACTTTCAATAGCCAATATGACTCTAATAAAAACTTATGTTGAAAAATATGATCGAAGTGCAAACTTCGGGATGTGGCAATTAAAGATGGAGAATCTATCATAATATATGATAGCTTAGACTTGGCATTGTAAGGAAAGAAGAAGCAGCCAGATAAAATGACGGGTGAGGAATTTGCCGTCATAGACAAAAAGGTAAAATCATGTATCATCTTAAATGTCTCATATGAGGTTTTACGTGAAATTTATATAGAAACCACATCCAAAGGCATGTGGAAAAAATTTAAAACCTTGTATATGAATAGGACGGTGGAAAATAGACTTTACTTAAAGTAGAAGTTTTTCACAATTCGTATGGGTGAAGGTACCTTTGTTCTGACACCTTTGATTATTTTCTTATGGATTTGAGTAATATAGATGCTGAAATTAAAGATGAGGATTAAGTCGTATTACTGTTTTGTTCTCTGCCCCATCTTTTAAGCATATAAGAGATACTATGCTTTATGCTAAGGATAATATCTCTTATATGGATATTAAATCTATCTTAAATAAAAAAAAACAGATAGACTGTGATATTATTGGGGAAGCTAGTGAAACTCAAGCGGAAGTTGGCTTTTTTCTTAGGGGTAAATCCGACTCAACATCCAAATACAATAATTTAGACTGTCGCTATTGTCATAAGAAATATAACATTATCTCTGAATGTTGTAAGCTGAAAAATAAAGAAAAGCATAAGGAAAGGAAAAATGAGCACAAAGATACTGACACCGCCGAAGCTAGTGTAACAACTGATGAGATTGAGGGAACTATATTTTTAGCAACTGAAACTAGTTTCAGATATGACAATGAGTGAATTTTAGATTCCGGTTGTTCGCATCATATGTGTCCCAACAAGGACTTATTTTCTACTATGATTCAGTTCAAGGTGGAGTTGTCCAATCGGGTGATAATGCTATTTGTAACGTTATCGCAACGGTACAATTTCGATCAGAATGCATGACGATGTGGTGATAGCTCTCATCGATGTTAGATATGTTCCTAACTTGAAGAAAAATCTCATTTATTTGGACACTTTAAAATCTTTTGCATGCAAATTCACTGGTCATGGTGGAATTCTGAATTTTTTTCAAGGTGTTGTTGTGATCATGAAAGCACGCAGATGTGGTTCGTTATATGCTTTATTGGGATCTATTTTACAGGCACTACTATAGTTTCCATATTAGACAACTTGTCTGATTTTGACGGAATTAAATTTTGACTTAAGTATATTGAGAATTTTCTAAAAATGGAGTAAAATAACTATATCATCCAATTTAGGCCAATGTGAAGATTTGTAAGACATGGACTAAATTTGTCCACAGCTAATCTTGGAGCCTACGCAAATTTGGAGTCAACGTATTCAAACTTGGAGCTAAAGCATTCTAGCTTGAAACTAAAGAACAAAAGTATTTTCTTTTACTCTTTTTTCCTTTACTTGGGGACAAAGAACGTTTCCCTATAAATATGAGTCATATCAGTTGATAAGTGGTGTCATTATTTAAAAGAATGAACAATTGAATAAATTAGTATACTATATATATCATCTTATAAAAAGACAACTTAAATTATATTAACGAAATATAATTCAAGTACATTACTACAATTCTCCTCAAAGAGTTCTCATATTTTGAAATGTATCCATAGTAGCATCATTAAAAACATTACTAAATACTTCTTTTTCTATATAAGGAACCAAACAACCACTCAAAAGCTCATCATCTATTCAATTTCATAAGTCAGTCTTAATCAATTTCGTTGCTGAGAAAGCTCTTTTGACCGTAGCCGTAGCAACTGGCAAAAGTAAAGCAAATTTCACTAGCCAGAACACAAGAGGATAAGTCCTATGCTTCTTTGTCTCTACTAGTTTATTAGAAATATCACCAAGTCCCTTAAGATCGGAAAAACTTTTGTCATGATCTCGTACATCAAGAATGTAATTTTCAAGCTGAAAACGAAGGTCAACTGTAGAATTATTAAAATCATCATGATATAGGTTAGCTAATCTCAATATCTTTTCCATGTCAAAACTTGAAAAAGAGTTAATTGGTTCAAGCAAGCAACTCCAAGAAGCAATTCAGTTGTCACCTCATCAAAGTAGTTGTTGAGTTCTTGAAATTGTCAGTCAATAGTTTTACAAAATACTACAATATGTTAGTAATGTAAAATTTTGTACTCTGTAACTCTACGACGTGATCTTCCAAGGATAACATAAGGCTCATTAAAGTTAGGGATCAATATATCATATTTGATGCAAAACATAGATACCTCATCAATAAGTAAGCTCAACCATCCTTTCTTAGAAGTTGCAACATATCTTTTGCCACTCTAACAAGTATCATAGTATTTGCAATATCTTGCTCCATCTTTTGAAAAGCAACATTAAGCTCATTTGTAATTGATAAAATAGTGCGCATAAAATACAACATGAAGACAACCTCAAATTTTAAACATGCTTTAAGTTATCCTTTTGCCTTACACCTTCTTCAAAATGTGCATTAACAACAATAGCATCAAATGCATCAATGATAGGCCAAACATAAGAATAAAATTGTTAAGAATTTGTAGTGAGAGCCCCATCGAGTATCACCAACTCTAGAAAGACCTAATTCTTGATTTAAGTCCCTCATAGTTTCAAACTCACTTTTATGTAATGCTTCTTCAATTTCTTCAGCTTGAGATTCACAAAGTTTATCTCTACACTTGAAAGAAGATCCCACCATATTTAATATATCATAAATAACCAATAAAAGTTCTTACACTTCATTACATCTTTTACAAACCACAACAAGAGTTAGTTGAAATTGATGAGCAAAGCAATGAATAGAATGAGCACCTTTACTTTCTTTTTGGATCAAGATTTTATGCCCATTTATATCACTTTACATAGTGCTTGCGCCATCGTAACATTGTCCACGTATAGAAGATGGACTTAAAGATGTTGAGCAAGTAAACCAACAATTTCATTCTTTAGAGAAAAAGCAGTAGCTTCACGGATATGAACAATACCAATAAATCACTCCATCACACTTCCCCGTCTATCAACATACTGCAAACCAATAGCCATTTGCTCTTTACATGACACATCACAAGATTCATCAACTAATACGGAAAAGTAATCATTATTTAAATCCTCAATGATACATTTATTTGTTTCCATCTTTTATGCAGTAATAATAACCTTTTGAATGTATGAAGAAGTCAATTGATTATTCTTTGGAGCTTTTTTAAATGCATCAGCAACATGATCACATTTTTTAGTATATTATCTAAGAATTTCAATAAAGTTACCTCTATTGAGAGATGATTCACCTTCACGATGCCCCTGAAATGATAATCCTTGGTGTAAAAGATATCTTATCATATCTACCGCAACCTCTAAATAAATCCGATATTCTCGCTTTTGTTGATCAGATTGTTTAGCAAGTACACTTTGAATGGATTATTTTTGTCTCATCAAATCCTCACTTTTCTTTCTTGACCGATTATGAATACTATTTGGTCCATTAATATGAGTATCAAATCTATCCTTCTTGTTTCAACTTGTAAATCCTACACTTGAAAATATATCTCCTCTCCCTTGATTGATACATTCACCTTGAAACAAATAATAATAGAAGCAAAAAGTTGCATCTTTTGTTATGCTATACTCCAACCAATCA